TCTCTGTAGCCCAGTAGATGCCATAGAAGGCTCCCCCAAGGAGTGCGATCACCAGCAGGTTGAGCAGCACCCGCACCAACCAAACCCTGGCTTCCTGGCCCAGAGTCCGCACGGCAGCCTGGCGCCGCACCACTGTCTCCTCCAGCTCCACCTGAAGGCAGGAGAGATGCCCGCTTGGACCTCATTTCCCAAGGCGCTGGCCTCTGGGTTCCCCAGGCCTGGCTCTCCAGAGATCCTCCTCAACGTGAACTGATGCAGCCGTCTCCCCACCAGCTAACAACCTCTGCAGTCCCGGTTCCACCCGCCCCGGGGCGCTCTAAGAAACCAGTGGCCCTTTACAGCCCCGCCCCTCCGTGGCCGGATCCAGCAACCCAAGTCCCCATCCCTGCGCGGCCAATCTCAGCACCCCGGGCCCCGCCCCTGAAGCTCCGCCCAACACCCTCAAGATCCGCCCCTGGTCAGCCCTGCCCATCAGAGGCTCCGCCCCCAGGCGGCCCTGCGCTTAATGCCTGGCCTGAAGTTCCAGTTCATCTATATCAAGACGCCCCGCTGGTCGCTCCCATCACTTAACTTTGAACCAAATTGCCTTAAAGCCCCACCCGCTTCTTGTGCTTGCTTTTTTTGGTAGAGAGGGAGCCTCCCTATGTTGCCCAGGCTGGTCTCGAACTCCTAGACTCAAGCGATCCACCTGCCTCGGTCTCCCAAAGTACTGGGGTTACAAGCATGAGCCACCGATCCCAGCCTTGGCGCATCCTTTTCCTACACCCTTGGATCTCGGGTAGCCCTATCGCGGCCTCCTCTCAACCCTCTCATTCCCCAGGACCTGACTTTCTTGGAGAAGGAGCTGCCTAGCGTCTCTCCGGAGGCCCTATCACCGGGTTAGGCCCTGTGCGTTATGTCAGCCCGGTCCAGTCTGGTCCCTACCCCGTTGCAGACCCCGCCCCCTAGTCGCACCTAGGCCCCATCACCGGGTTAGGTCCTGTGCGTTATCTCAGCCCAGTCGGGTCTGGTCCCTACCCCGTTGCATAACTTGCCCCCTAATTGCACCTGCAATTCGTACAAGATGATGCGCTGGCACAGCCGCACGTGGACGTCCCCGCAGGGGCCGAAGTCACAGGCCGAGAACACCCGGTGGCTGTAGCTGGTCAGATCCCCGGACTCCGCCAGCAGTGTCTGCTTCAGCCCGGACACCGAGCTGAGAGGGGAGACGGGATGTGAAAGGACAGCCAGGAATGGGGGTTATGGGGGGATCCCTCATATTGGGACCAATGGGGAAGACGAACCCTAAGGCCTTGGGTACTAGGGGAGCTGCCATCAGGTGGGGACAGAGTCAAAGAGGCGGAGACACCTACAGTCATTGAAGGCAAAGTCCAAGAGAGATTCAGAAACAGACCTGGAGCACAGGCACCCCACAGAGAGAGGCAGAAACCTAGGAGACAGGGACAGAGCCCTGGAGCGAAGGGGGCAGAAACCCAGAGTGAAAGGGACAGAGGCCCTGAGAAAGACAGAGATCTGGAGGAGGGACAGAGGCCCCAGAGGGAGATTCGGAGAAAGGGAGACAAAGACAGTGAGAAAGGAGAAACTACATCTACAAAAGATGGGGGTCAAAGACCCATAAGAAGTACGGGTACCCAGAGAAGGGGGCTGGGCGGGAAGACCCGAGAAGAAGACAGACACCCAGAGAAGATGGCAGGTAAAGACTCAAGAGAGGGGGGCACACCAGGCGCCATGGCTCACGCCTGTAATCCCAGCACTTTGGGAGGCCGAATGGGCGGATCACGAGGTCAGGAGATCGAGACCATCCTGGTTAACACGGTGAAACCCCGTCTCTACTAAAAATAAAAACAATTAGTCGGACGAGGTGGTGGGCGCCTGTAGTCCCAGCTACTCGGGAGTCTGAGGCAGGAGAATGGCGTGAACCCGGGAGGCGGAGCTTGCAGTGAGCCGAGATCTGGCCCCTGCACTCCAGCCTGGGCGACAGAGGGAGACTCCATCTCAAAAAAAAAAAGAAAAAATATTTAGGCTTCTTCCTAGCATAACCTGCCAGGGCCTACCTGATCTGACCCTTCCCTACTTCTCAAAGCTTAAATCTTTGTCTTTTTTTTTTGACACGGTCTTGCTCTGTTGTTCAGGCTGGAGTGCAGTGGTGCGATCTTGGCTCACTGTAACTTCTGCCTCCCAGGTTCAACTGATTCTCCTGCCTCAGCTTCCCAAGTAGTTGGGACCACAGGCATATGCCACCATGCTCAGCTACTTTTCATATTTTTCATAGAGCTAGGGTTTCACCATGTTGGCCAGGCTGTTCTCAAACTCCTGACCTCAAGTGATCCGCCTGCCTCAGCCTCTCAAAAAGCTGAAATTACAGGCATGAGCCACCGCGACTGGCCCTGCCCCTTCTTCTCATACAGGCCTTTTATTTCTCAGAACAC